TGCTTGCAGCGCTTCCAGGCTCCTAATTGACATTTTCTGGATCCCTGAGCTTAGTACATTTTGTTCTGAATTATTTATTATGTGTGCAAGTAAACCACTGTATATTTTATACTTTTTGATGAGGTTCTTGTTGAGGCAAGGGAAGCAATTCTAATATTGGGGAAAATTGTGATTAATATTTGGAAATAAAAGTGATAGTGTATTCATATTTCTTCTACATTAAGATTCATCCATCCATCCAATGAATGTTGAACTCCACATACATGGATTTACTGAAGACAATAATATCAAGACTAAGAATGGAAATATAAAGGCATGAAACAAGGGTAACACTTCAACTTAAATTCTGGGACATGGGACTAAAGCTCAGATAATTCTTTATAATGGTAATAAATTTGCTGGAACCATCACACATCTGTCAGACCTTTCTGAGATGGACTGACATTATCATTTAAATAGAAATCCTTGCCTTCATTTACTAGCTAATGTATACTGCTCTCCAGGTAGCAGACAAGTCTAGTGATATAGTGGAGCAAAGGATCAAGTAATCTGATTTTCCAATGGGCATTACTATATATTTGAATAAGAGAGTCATAAATACTAACCTAAGTACCTATTTTAAGAAGCCAAAGACAGGCACAATACTGAAGTATATATGGAATCTATATACAACAGTAATCATGGGTGTATGAAGGACCATCTGGGCATGTAGTGGTGAGCCGACTGACTGGAAGACTGGATCCATCCAACCCTGGAGTACAACACATGGAGATGTGTCTCAGCTCTGAAAATGGGTGTCCATAAGCACAACACAATGTACCTCTAAGGCCTAATTTTTAAAGTCTGTTAATGACAGGGAATTTGACTCTCAATCTTTTTACTCATGAGATACTTTCTGTAATATCAAGCATTTCTTGGATACCCAGATAATAAAAACCTGTTGGTAGTTGAGAAAAAATTAAGCACAGATAGACTCACAGATATCTTACATTAAACCTGTAAACTACAGCCTGAGAACCACTGAGGTTAATGATATTTAGAGAGTCTTCATGTCCAAGACTCTATGATTCTTCCATAGCTTTCCTGGAACACTGTGCAGGATGAGGTACCCACTACTCCCTGAGGCAGCCCATTTTGTTGTTAGTTGTCCATGGTGTTAGGGCAAATGCTAAGCAGTGACTCTTCTTCCTCTAACCTCTACTTACTGGGCCCTGTTCTGCCTCTGAACAACATGAACTAACCACGATTTCTACCACACAACAGCTTTCCATTACCACCCTGAAATCCAGAAAAGATTGGCAGCTTATGTACAAATCATAGCAGAACTGTGTACATCAGAGAAAGGGGAAGAGAAAGAAGGAAAAAAGTGAAGCCAGAAAATGAGCTTCAAAATCTGCTACTAATGGTCCACTTATATGCTATACCTGGAACACAAATGTGGCTTCGTGTTTTTGACCAGTTACCTTTCAGAGGGACACCTTATTAGTTGCACCATATACAAGGTCTTCAAGAACAACTCTAAGTTGTCCTTGTGCTCCTGCTGCAGCGGTCAGCCTAGAATAGCCACCATGTTTCCTCATAGAAAAGTCCATTGGGATGTCCTGAACCACAGGTATCAAATTTTCTGTATAAAGGCTACAATGTGAACAACATTTTGCCAAAGTACTGTGTAGGAAAAGCAATTCTTTGAAGGGCTAAAAGAGTGAGGTCTAGGTACCTAATTCCCTGCTGTAGATATGGCTTGATCTGGCTCGATTCTGGAATATCTGGAGGAGAGCAGCAAATGGTTATCTTTTATGTAGTTTTGTTTGGATATCTAGTCTTTTAAGCAAGGTGTTGATAAATATTGATTAAACTTTTGATTAAATATTAAATAAGTATACATTGTATGCCAGGTATTGTTCTAAGCACTTTACACATATGATCTCATTTCATTGTCATAACAGTCTTATATGGGGTTGCTATAATACACCCTGTTTTAGAGATGAGGAAACTGAAGTGCAGAAATATTAAGACCAGTAGTAATTGGTGGAGACAGGGTTTGAACTAAGGCCTCCAACCCAATCTCCTTTTTAACCACTACAGAATCCCCAAAAGCATGTTGGTTGGGTTAACATCCTTTCCTGAAAGTCAAGAGTTTGAAGGAAAAGGGTAACGATGAGGTCAATTTATCTATGTTGAGAAGTCAAAGCAATGGGAATTGATGTAAGCCTCAACAGGAATATGGGGATTGGGGCAAAGAGACAGGGAGAGAAAGGAAAACATCAAGTTAGGTGCATACTTTAGAAAGTCATTTCTTTGTTCTTTTTCCAAATTCTTCAAATTGCAAACTGTGGGTTCAGAATATGTTCATGAATTCTTTGATACTCTTTTCTTTAAGACAGTGCCTAACTGCCTTCCCTTTCAGGGTGGGCTGGATCTTACACATCAGTTCTAATGAATGAAATAAAGTCATGGGGTGACCTTGGAGATCAGGTCACACAGGCACTGTGGTTTCTCTTCACTCTCTTGGATCATTTGCTCCAGGTAAGTTATCTGCCACTGTTGTGGACAAATAGCCTAAGAAGAGGGCTGGGTGGTGGGGAACTGTGGCCTTCTGCCAGTAGCCAGTGAGGAACTGAGGTTGTTTTCAGTCTGTTATCATGTGAATGAACCATTTTGGAAGTGGATCTTCCAGCCCCAGTCAAGCCTTCAGATAACTACAACCCAGCTTGACTACAGCCTCATGAGAGACCCTGAGCCAGAACCACCCAGCTAAGCTACTTATGGACTCCTGACCATCAGCGACTGTGAGATAATAAATGTTTATTAATTAAACATCTAGAATTTGAGGTTATTTGTTATGTAGTAATAGATAAGTAATCTATAAACTGACAAGCACACTTTCAAAAACAACAAAACAGAACAAATAAAAATAAAATAAAACTCATCACCTATAATTTCGAAAGGACAAAGAAATATTCTGAAGATAGCTATCCTCATTTAGGTAAGGTTTGCGCCCAAACTCTTCAATCCAAAGATATTAAAGCAATTAAATTCACTCCCAAAGTAATTTTCCATGATTTGGAGCTTAAATGTATGTTATTTACTTACAATGTGACATTGTATGCAAAAAGGAAGCTATAGTTGTTCAATATTTAAAATTACATAAAACTTTTGAAGTCCTTTTTTTATGTTTATTTATTTATTTTGAGAGACAGTGTGTGTGTTAGCAGGGCCTTGAGGGGTGGAGAGAGAGGGAGAGAGAGAATCCCAAGCAAGCTTAATGCTGTCATCACAGAGCCTGACATGGGGCTCCATCTTACGAACTGTGAGACTGTGATCCAAGCCAAAATCAAGAGTCAGACACTCAACCAGCTGAGCCATCCAGGCAACCCAAATTTTCAAAGTTCTTTAAAGCAAATGAATAACTGAATGCAGAAGATGGGCCAAAGAAACTATTTTCCCCATAAAAAATGTTAAGATCTTAACATCCAGCTTTAAAGAATGGAACAACGGTAGGCAATTAGCAGGCAGAAACATACAATTTAGATATTAGTGAAAAACTTTTATAAATTATTTTAAAAAAAAACATTCACTAGCATTCTGATCCCAGAATTTATCAGCTTGCTCAGGCCACACCCAATCGGCGCAGATTACACAGTAAATGATGATGATCGGGGCTGCAAAGTGTAGTTTGATTTTCATAATTTCTAAAAGTAGCAAACATGACTTGTGTTTCCATCCCAATGTGATCATGACTATTAATCCAGAGCCATTTTTTTCTGAGTAGGCATCATGGTATCTCACTGGTTTTCAATGTCCACTTTCTCTACATTATGGCTCAGCTCAAGGCTTTGCAACCCACTGCATGACAGATAGCTTTACTAAGGACAACAGATACCACCTTATGCATAGGTGACTTACAGCTCTCAGCCAAAAATTAGGCCCGGGCAATATGCCTCTGCCATCAACACTCCTTCCAGAAAGCTCCTCATGAAGTTGCAATTTTAAAAGAAATGTTTTCCCATCAAAATTCAATAGCATTTTATAAGCACATATACCTTCTTCCTTTTCTGGCCTGCATGAAATTTAATATCAGGATTATTATCCATTTTTCATTTCAACCTATAATTTAGCAAGCCTTTTTGTGTTTGAGTTATGCTCCCCTCACACCTTCACTGTCAGCTTGCAGCCATAGATTCATTCAAGAAGCCATCTGGGTCATATTGGTTGACCTCTTAGAACAAACATTTTCCATGTTTCTTATTCTGCTTCCCTAAGAGGCACCATTAGTTTTGCTCATCTCTATTTAGAATGATTTTTATGATACAATAAAATTTCAAGTTTTCCATATTAATCTTCATTTTATTTCTTGAAATACTTAGGCAAACAATTTTGTTAAGACATCACTGTTGGGAAATCCTCTTTCCCCTTTACTCTGCCTACTTAAAGTAAACTCTGAAAAAATAATAAATATTTTCTCTGAATCAGCTGAGCACCAGAGAGAGAGTTTAAAATCTGGTCTAGTAATTCACAATGCCTTACAGAAAACACTGTGATAAACGATTAAAGCAAAAAATCTGAATAGGACATCAATGAAGGTCTATGTTCATATTTGGGATCCTATGTAAGAATTTAAAAATCTCATTTCTTTTTTTTTAAGTTACTCATTTTGAGAGTGAAAGAGAGAGAGAGAGAAAGAGGGAGAAAGCATCTCAAGCAGGCTCTACACGGTCAGCACAGGGGGCTCCAGCTCACGGAACCATGAGATCACGACCTGAGCTGAAACAAAGAGTCAGATGCTTAACCAACTGAGCGGCCCAGGTACCCTTAAAAATCTATTTTCTTATACATCAGTTCAAGGACATCTGAGTACAAAGGGAAAAATGAAAGTAAAACAGATAATCTTTGCCAATTTGCCAAAAAAAAAAAAAAAAAAAAAAAAAAAAAAAAAAAAGAAAAAAAAGAAAAGAAAAAGCTCACAAAATCAACACCCAAAGGTGTAGGGTGGTACTTACCCCACAGCCCAGACCATTTCCCCCTTCACAAGTGACCTTCCTCCTGCCTGGCTCGGGAAGCAGCCCTGTTCCACAGCCAGGGTGAGGGCACAGCACGCCCCCCATCTGGAGCACACACTCTTCAGCGCCATATTGCTGGTACCGGTTGTACTGTAAAACACAACATGGGTTTTTCAAAGTGATAATATGAAGATGTGCTGTTTTAGCCAAAATGTTAACAGCTGGTGGTTTGTGGGTTTTCTTGTTAATCTGTTTTGGTAAAAAAAAAAAAAAAAAAAAAAAAATGGGGGGGTGGATAAGGTATGATCCAACACAATGAAAGTCTTTCCAATTGCAATGAGCAAAATGGATAACTTTGTATTTCTAGAAATTGGTCCTAAATATTTCCCCCCAAAGTTTGGATTTGTTTTTTAAATTTTTTTTGATGTTATTATTTATTTTTGAGACAGAGAGAGACAGAGCATGAGCAGGGGAGGGGCAGAGAGAGAGCGAGACACAGAATTGGAAGCAGGCTCCAGGCTCTGAGTTGTTGGCACAGAGCCTGATGCGGGGCTCAAACTCACGAGCTGTGAGATCATGACCTGAGCTGAAGTTGGACGCCCAACCGACTGAGCCACCCAGGTGCCCCAGTTTGGATTTTTAATATTACTAACATCACCTCCATTTAACAGTCTTATTTCAGGAATTTTAGGAAACATATCTATATTTTAAGTTATGGACACATAATGCATCATTATCAGTCTTATCAAGTGGTATATTTTCATGCCTCTATTCAGGTGTCTATGAGTTTTTGAAACCATTTTGAAAATAGGTCCTGATATTCTACCCTGTGCTAATTGTGGGCAGCTCACAGGATATCTGAGCACATCTGAGGAATACTGAGCACATTCAGCTTGATGAAGAAGATTCATGTTTTCCTTTCATCATTGTTCTCTTTCTTAAAGTATGGTTTCTTTTATCCCTGACTTCATCATGCCCTTGCATGGCTCGACCCCTTCCTTGGTTTCCTCAGCCCGCAGAATAAAACTACATAGTGCAGGTTCCAAGGCCATCCTATTGCAGCCTTGTTATTGTTCTCCTGGTGTTATTTGATCATATTCTCTTCTAAACTCAGATGAAGTCAAGTGGATTTGCTTGACTGTTAATTAATTTATGCAACCTTCATTGACAGCTTACTATGGTCAGACTGTGGGTGCTGGGGATACTGCAGGGGACAAAATAGACACCTGTGCTCTCATCCACATGCAGATAATGATAAACACTGAAAGGTTATATTTCAGTGGGAAGGAGAATAAAAAACAGGGAAGAGGCAGATTTGGGGGAAGATGGGGACTACAGTTTTGAAGGGGTGATTAAGAGATAGGGGATGCCTTATAAAGAAGATACATGGGGGCGCCTGGGTGGCTCAGTCGGTTAAGCGGCCGACTTTGGCTCAGGTCATGATCTCGCGGTCTGTGAGTTCGAGCCCCGCGTCGGGCTCTGTGCTGACAGCTCCGAGCCTGGAGCATGTTTCGGATTCTGTGTCTCCCTCTCTCTGACCCTCCCCCGTTCATGCTCTGTCTCTCTCTGTCTCAAAAATAAATAAACGTTAAAAAAAATTAAAAAAAAAAGAAGATACCTGTGGGCAAACATCGAAGGGAGATTAGAAAAGCAAACCATGTGGCTACCTGTGGGAATGGGCTTTCTGGCCAAGGACAGAGCATTACCAAGATACAGAAGCCAGAATGTGCTCGGTGCTGTGAGATACAGCAGAGGCCAGTGTGGCTGAGTGAGACGGGACAGGAAATGGCAGAAAACATAAGTCAGAGAGCTCTTGGGAATCTGGGCTCTGTGGGTCCCTGAAGGCCAGTAGAAGAGTCTGGCTGCCCTTCTGAGAGAAACAGGAACCATGGAGACTTTGGAGCTGTGGGGTGACATAATATGACTAATCTTCTAAAGATAGCCATCTGGCTGAGGTGTTCAGAATAGACTCTTGGGGGCAAGGAGAGAAGGAGGAAGCAGAGGGGCAGGCGGGAGGTTTTCAGCAATCCACATGGAGGATGGTGGTGGCTCAAACCTGCAAGCTAGTGGTGGAGGTGGGGATCACCTGGATATATGGTGCAGGTAAAAATGGCAAAATTTTTAGGCAGATTGGATACATGGTGTGAGAAAAAAAAAGAGTCAAACCTGAACATAATGTTTTTGTCTGAGAAGACAGAAGGACACACACAGACACACAGACACACAGACACACACACACACAGAGACAGAGACAGAGACAGACACAGAGAATGAATAACCGAGATGGAAAGACTTTAGAAGGACAGTGTGTGCATGTGCATGTCTATATGTGTGTGAGTGCCTGTATGTGAGTGCCTGTGTGTGTGTGTGTGTGTGTGTGTGTGTGTGTGTGTGTAGGTTGGGAGTTGAGAAAAGGAGCCATTATTTCTATTGTACTTATCTTCAGTTTAATAAACTGCTATGCAGCTAAGTAAGATGTTGAGTGGCTAACAATGTATGAGTTTGGAGTTTAGGAGAAAGAAGTGGGTTGTAGATACAAAATTTGGAATCATATGTGCATGGAGGCTGGGAGGAAAAGGGTTAGCACCAGGCCTCCCACGCATTGTCTCATTTTTCTGGCCCCAGGAAAGAAAGAAAGATGACTTGGTCAAATCCTCTTGTAAACACGCTAATGATACATCCATACAATGGCATTTGCTAGAAAAGATTCTTAACTGTGGAATACATTAAGCAGGAAATGCTTAAGTGATGAATGATTCCTTGAATGATGAGTGATGGGATAGCTTATATAATTGAGAGACTGCACATTAATGATCATTCCAGGTACTTCTCAGAGACCTTATTCATTAAGTCTTGCCTGTAGTACACCCTGATACACTGAGAAATGACCCAGGGAGCTCTGCTAAATGATGCAGACTTCTCTGTGGTTTGTGGGCACCTCATTTTTACCCGCCTTTGAAGCCATTAGGAGAGTGGGACACAAGGTTACATCTAGGATTCCTGAGTGTCTGACTTGACAGCCTGACTCTGTGTTATCTCCATAGCCATGAGACTAGCTGAGACCATCTAACCTTTGTAGGGAAGATGAGAAGGAGCCAGCAAAGGGCACTGAGAAGCAGCAGCCTATGAGGCAGGTGGGAAATGAAAAGGATGTGGGTGTCCTGGGAGCCAAGGGAAGAAAATACTTGAGTGAGGGTGTCATGATAAATTGTCTCAAAAGCTGCCCAGAAGGCAATTACTGGATACTGGCTGGAGCTGGAAATACAGATGTCATTGGGGTCTTGGCAAGAGCCATTTCAGTGGAGTCATGGAGCCAAAAATCTTAGTGGAGTCAAATGGAGTCAGGACATAATTGGAGGAGAGGAATTCCAAGAGGCAAGAATGGGTTCTTTTCCCCGTAGGAGTTTGGCTGAAAAGGAGAAAAGAAACATTGGATAGCAGCTGAAGGGGACAGAGGGATTGTAAAGGATTTTCTGAAAATGAAGAAATAATATCTTTATATGCTGAAGGGAGGGGGTGGGAAGAGAGGAGAGAGTGGATGATGTCAGCTGGGAAACGAGCTATATCCTAAGGAGGTGGCACACAACATCCTCTCATGGAACTGCGAATGATTTCAATAAATATTTATCGGAACCCTCTGAGGTGCTCAGCTCAGTACTGTACCACTAGACCTTTCAACTTTTATGCCTTGGCCTCGCCAAAATGGGTATGAAGTTTTAGTTTTATAAGATGAATGAGTTCTGGAAATCTCATGTACAAAATGATAGTACAGTGAATAATACTGTATTGTATACTTGAAATTTACTAAGAAGGTAGGTGTTTCAGAACAACAGGGCTTCGACTTACCATTTTCTGTTTGACATTTGTATTTGCTTCTACACTGCTTTTTAAGAACACAGAGGATGGTAGAATAAAACACTATCCCACAATAGCTCAATGGCCTTATCTCACACACATACAAGGATATAGAATAATAGTACCAATACTATCACTATGAATATGATTACTAAAAACCTCAAATATATTTTCACATGCTCTACCGTTTCTTTTGCCAAATTAAAAAAACATGTTTTTTTGTTTTTTTGTTTTTTGAGAGAGAGCGTGAGCAGGGGAGGGGCAGAGAGAGAGGGAGAGAGAGAATCCCAAACAGGCTCTGAGCTGTCAGCCTAGGGCCCAACCTGGGGCTTGATCTCATAAACCATGAGATCGTGACCTTAGCCAAAACCAAGAGTCTGATGCTTAACCAACTGAACCACCCAGGAGCCCCATTGCCAAATTTTTATAATAATACTGTATCTACTTTGTTGGAATATACACCCGTTCCATACTATGCTTTGTTTCTCTTACTTTTCATGTTATCTTAAGTGTAAACACACACACATGTACACACAAACACACAAACACACGTAATGTTCCCCACAAGTTCTTACGTTGATATCTTTCCAGTAATTTTGGTTGTTAGAAGCTTGTTCTCTAGTAAATTCCTTGGAAGGAGTGTATAGGAAAAATATTCACTGAGGACTTGCATATCCATGACAGTTTATTTGGGATCTTTATTCTTAAAAATGAATTTGGCTGGGTATCAAGTCCTAGGCTCACATTTTTTCCCCCTTGACCATCTTCACTGTCTTACTCCATGTTCTTCTGGTGTAAGGTGTTATGGACAAGCCTGATGACAGTTTAATTTTTTTCCCCTTTATACATTCAATTGATAATCTTTTCGCCTAGATGCCCAAAGGAATTCTCTTTCTTTAGAATATGGTAGTTTTGTTAGAATATATCTTGATGCTGGTCATTTTCTGATCGATTTTTTTGATTCAAGGAAGCTGTATTGCATTTGATTTTCAGTTATTTGCTCTATTTTCTTGCTTCGATGTGTTTCTTACAGGATTTCTAGTATATGTATATTGGATCTTCCTTACTCACCTTCTAAATCTGTCGAATTTAATCTCTGGAATCCTTTATCTCACTTTACTTTCAGTTTTTAGAAGTTTCTTCCTTTTCACCTCCTCTTTTAAGACACTATCTGTTACTTATTTTTATTTGTATAATTTCTTAATAACATGGTTCTTTTTGAAATAGTTACTTTAGCTTCCACCGGACTGACGTGCTTTTATTGTCTCTCAGGACATCATTCTGTTCTTCATTCT